AATAACAGCTATGCTAACTGGTTTTATAAGTCTATTCCCTTCTTCGTGTAGACTGACTTTAAATATATGCACAAATTGTATAGTGTTTGAGAAGTCAGCTTAAAATCGATCATGTCTATTACACATCTTCAATGCTCAGCCGTCAAATAATGCGTTGGCGATGGCCAAATATATCCTTGTAGCGGATTTGGCAAAAATAAATAAAGTCAATAGACGATAAGGGAAATGCGAGCGCAAAGCTGATTTTAGAGACTACATACAACGAAATGCAACCGCAGCGAATTGATTTGAGCAATTTGAAAAAGCGCAAAATGCAATTGGAATTGGGAAACATCGTACACAGTATACAAATACACACACACACACACACACACACACAGACATACACAATACGCAATAGAAAGCACAACAACTCAACGCCGCCAAACGAAGCATTTAACCACCACCCATTTGGGAGCCAGCAACAAATCGACATGAGCTGCATGCGAAATGGCAGAGAAGCCCAAAAGCAATATTCAACTCACAGCGAACAAATAGTATTGGAAGTATTGCAGGGTATTGTAAATATTCTGCGACCACCGCTGGCAAACATTTTTCGGCTGCCTTCAGTCAATCAAACCGCTTAACGAATTCGAAAATTTCTCCCAATCGAACTACTTGCTTTGTTGTGTGTAAAGCGTAATGAATTCCTATTTCAGCAATGTTGCTTTTAATGAGCAGCTGGAATTTTACCCACTGCAATCGAAAAGCAAAATTGTTCTCTATTTTTTTTTGATGGTAACTTATTTGGCGATTGATTGATTTCAAATATTTATCGAAATAAATTTACTGATGTAAAAAGTTTTATTGGATTTTTCTGTTTTCAAACTTCAAGAATTATGCTTTTGTTGGCCTATAAAAAGTTTTTTGAGACGTTCTTTCCCCAAACTCCAAAAATGTTTGTTAAAATTATAATTGCAATGAATGACAATATAAATAATAAGAGAATTTATAACCACAATTGAAAAATTGTTAAGCCGATTTAATGGTAGCTTCCCAATCGATAGTTCTACAGCTTTAGTAACTATATAAACGTGGCAAGCAAGCGGGCAGTGTAATTGGCAAAAGCTAAAATACGGATAATAATCCGCAAAACTTGGACAATAGTAGCGGAAAAAAATGCTAGCCCTAATTGCGAAAATAAAAAAAAAAAACTCCAATAACTGGGGCAGTATATAAAAGTCAGCTTTAAGTTGATGTCGCTGGTTTTTTTGTTTGTTTTTTTTTTTTTTGGTTGGAGGGTCTCTCTTCAAACGCCTGAAAAGGCAACGAAAAAAAGGTTGGCATATGTGTGTGTGTGTGTGTGTGTGTGTGTTGCAAATAGCTGCTGTATATATCGAGCATATGAAATTCACACATCATGAACTCAGATATGAAAAGTTAATAAGAAGTCGGCTACGTGACGGGAAACATTCGGTGGGGCAACTGTGGTAAGCATTCACTTTCAAGTCAAGTTAAGGTGTGAAAGTTTAGTTTGCACTCTTGCTGGGATAAAAGTGAATTCATATTTCAGTTGAGTCAAAATAAAATGATTGTTAAATTTATTTTCCATTGCATGTGAATGTCATCAATATGTAAAGCAGCTAGTCAGGAAATGTTGACGGGCTGTGGAGCATTGAATTGTTTAAATGTTTGCTAATGTTTGCTAAAAATACATCATCGATGGCATATCTTTTATTTTGTTCAATGTGAAATACACAAACAGAGTATTAATTTATTTAGCATCAAATAGGTTAACTTATATCAATGTGGTTTATTGCATTTTCTTTACACTTCAAAGCTAGTTATTCAATCAAAAAATCAAAAAAGCGATGTTAATTGTAATAAATTTAAATACTTAATGAAACAGACTATGGCTTAACCATTTATGCTTCACCTTCAGATAACTTTTGTGTCAAAATACAAAACACCTACACGTATAGAAAAAAGTGCCAGCTTGTCTCAGAGTTTAAAAGTTTTATTATATTACGTTGGCAAAGCATTATCAGCAAACTGTTGATGACGAGTCTGCCTAATAAGCTGCTTTAATTATATTAATGAAACACACAAACTGATAGCTGATAACTGATAACGCAACATTTTCAGCTTGATTAGTGGGTCAAGTAAGCACTGGGGATCATCATATTGGGGGTTTGCCCAATAGCACAAAATGCAGCTTCCCAACCGAAGATTAACTCACAGCAAGCTGCCACACACACAAATTCCACTTAGATATAGGAGAGAAAGGGAGCGACAGAGAGGGGAGAAAGACAGAGAGAGAGAGAGAGAGAGAGAGAGAGCTAGAGAGAGAGAGAGAGGTGGAGTGTGTGTGTGTGTGTAAAGGAGCAGCAGCAACGAGCAGCAATTAAATGCGAAAAGAAAAACTTTTCATCGTTTTCGTAGAAAAGCGAATACGCAAAGGACACCAGCCAGCTATGTAAATATAAGTCCCTTTTTGTGTGTGTATTTGTGTGAATTTGTGTGTGTGTGTGTGGGTGAGTGTGTGCTTGTTTGGGTGTGTCATTGAAGGTATGCGAGAGTAGGGTGCGTGTGTGTAAAGCTGAACGCACAACATGTGCTGCTGCTGTAGTTACTGAAACGTAATAATGTGAATCAATTTACAATACAATCCACACCATGCAATCCACAAAATATAGCAAGACACTGATTGGCATGTTAACACCTACAAGTGTGGAACATGATTGTAAAACCAAATTCGAAAGATGATATTAAACATATCAGCTGTTTATCAGTTAGCAAGCTATGTATTTAGAATGTGTAAAATGACTGGGTAACTTGCAGTCGAGCAGCACTAACTGAATGACTGTTGATGTTTGGTGGTGGCATACACATAATTGTAAAGTGGCTGGGCATGTGTCGTTGCTTTCACTTTTAATTGTCCATGTGTCCGGCTCCCACGCCAGGACTCCAGGACGTCTAGGACTCGCTGAACTTATTCACGACTCTGCATCCATATGAGTGTGAATGTGGAACTTTGTATATGTGTGAGTGTCTGTGCGTGAGTGTTATTAACAACATTAACATCACTTTGGTGTGCCCTGAAACGTGTTTTGTCTTTTGCTGTTTGCCATTATTGTTGTTGTTTGCTGCTTGTTGTAATCTTATGGGAAAATGTCGTTCTCCGTAATTCTGTCATCCACGAAAGCTGCATTTAACTTAAGTGCGACCCAAACGCACACACACACACACACACACACACGCACACACACACACACATTTGTATGCTGATGGCTTCATTTTAAACGGTCTGAAATGAACACAGAGAGCAGCAGCGAGCACAATGACAACGTATTTTCCTTTGTTTTCATATAAATATATTAATCGTCACTTCAATTAATAAAGTCCTTTAAGTATTATATGCGACAGCGTCTCACAGTTCGCCATACATTATTATAAGCTCTGCTAGTAAGCTGTTTGTATTGTGAGTGTGTGTGTGTGTGTGTGTGTGTGTGTGTGTTGTGAATGATTTGTGTGTGTCCTGCACAAAAGCAAAAATCAATTTTAAATTAGTCCAGAATGAGCTCATGTGCACTCAGAAAAATAAATATATCAAAGCATAATAATAATAATAATAATAAAAATCATTCAGAAAACCATTATTAATTTTAGTTGTTTTCAATTATTTGTTAATTTCTTTAAGAGTCGATTTCTTAAATTCAATCGACTATTCTATAAATAATTTATCTATATTAAAGACAAAAAGATACATATTTGTTGAAATTATTGAGTATATTTCTTAAATTCAATCAATGAAGTATCTCATCAAATATAAATAAGAGTAACATTTTTTTAGGAGTGTAAATGGAGCTGGGCCGGAACGAGGAGCTCAACTGCTGACCAATTTCAGTGTCGCCAGGCGCAGGTGGTGACTCCCACAATAACAACAATACCAATAGCAGCAGCAGTGACAACAAACAACAAGCCAGAGGTCATGCCAGACTCACCTTGTCCCCCTCTCTCGCGCTCTTTCTCGCTTTCCCCTCGCCGTCCTGGTTGGTCTTGTATCGGCCTGAGGCACTGTTATTGAATCGAGTTACAGGTCAAAAGAAGCGACTGGGGCAAAAGTGGGCGCTACAAGCGAGTAAACAACAATAAAGCGAAGACACACAAAAGCACTACGCAAGAGGAGAGAGGAGAGTGCTGGGAGGAGAGAGTAGAGCACAAGGACACAATGGTGTATATGAGGAATGGAGAACGCGTTGCTAGACAGCTTTTTTAATTTGAATGCCACCAAAACGTGGATTGGGGCATTTCCATAGTTCCCTGGCATTGCAATCGATCGCTGCAACCTGCAATTTGCCGCATCAGCGAGCCTAACAAGGCACAAAACAACAAAAAACACATCTAACAAACCAAATGAAATGAAAATTAAGTTTTTACGTGGCTCATTCTATGAACTTGTAAAAATGTTTTGCAAAGAAACTTTTATTGCTTTCCAGGTAGCAAATGCATAGCAAAGCAATTTTGAAGTTAATAGTCAAATTCCTTTTTTGAAATGCATCTCACAAATGCATTTAGTGACTAACGAGCGCAAGATGTATAGAAGACTATTGCGCTTTATTTTGTATTTTTAGAATAAGCAGCAAGTAAAACAGACTGCGACTCTAAGTTACCCTGTTTATTTTTAATTGAAAATAGTACACTTAATTAGTAATTAGTTCAGCTTAGAATTACATTTCACAAAATAAAAATGAGATCTACAAATGCATACTCTTTATGAAGAAGAAAATAAATCTGCTAAAAGTTAGCGCCTATTTATAAATATAAAAATATGACAATAATTGTCTCGAAAGTTTTTCAGTTTATTATGAATTTTTGATAGCTTTTCACACTACACTCAAGGAGTAATACAAAGATATAGCAATAATTGTATATGTATTTTTATTGATATATATTCCAGATCTCCAAAGTATGTATATGAGTACATGAAGACCACATGTTCGTGATTTTTCTTCGCTTACCGCTTGCCCTTAAATGCCAGCAAATATTTTTTGTTGGCTGGGAAATTGTTGGACTGCACGGATCCGGTGGCGCCGGCACGCAACGGGAACTGCTTGTGGAAGAGCGGAATGCTGACGTCGAAGCCGTGACGCATCTGGAGTACACTCATGCTGGCCTTGGCCAGAATGGCCTCGCCGGCATCGAAGCCAAGCGAATGCTCCGCATAATCCGGCCAGGTGCCCGAATATAAATTGAAAATTATATGATTCCGTCCGTTATTCCAGTGCGGCAGACGCGCCAGACGCGACGGCACATTGCGAACATAGTCATCCGACAGGGAGTCACGATCCAGTGTATCTATGCCCAGCACAAAGAGGCAGGCGGCGGCGGGATCGCTGGTGTGATAACGCGACTCCTGTATGGCAGTGAGGATCTTCTGATAATTCGCTGAACTGGGCGGTGCGGCGCCCAGTGAATTCAGCGGCTCCGGCGGGTAAACGTAGACCAGAAACTGATCATAGCATTTCGTGAAATCAAAGCACGACTCCATGCGACATGCATTTTTTTTGGAAGCAGCAATAGCAGCACTCGATTCATTGGCGAGCGGTTTCCGCTGCTCAAAACTGATGAAACTGGGCAATTGTGCGTAGGGTTGGATGCCGCCATCCTTGGCCGATTCGTGCTGGGCGCGGCGGGGACGATTGGGCGCCACTTTCAGTCGATAGCCGCCAAAATAGCAGAACGAAATCGCGAGAAATGCGCACGAGACAAAGACCAGAATATATCGCTTCTTCGCCTGCATAATGGCAACGAGTCCAGCTGGGTGCTGTGTTTCCTGCTGGGTATTGTTGTTGTTGGTGTGTGTGTGAGTGTGAGTGTGTGTGTGTGTGAGTGTGAGATGCACTACAAGTTGATTTGGGAGTGGGAAAAGGAGCGCGTGATGCTTCTTGTTTATTTTAACCTTATTCTAAACGCATTTTGCTCTGCTTCTTCTTATTTGTTATTGTCGTTTGCAGCAGAAGCAGCAGCAGCAACAACGAGCCTCTCTTTCTCTCTCTCTCTGCTGTGTTTGTTGTTATTGTTGTTGCTGTTGTTGCTGTTGTCTTTTCCATACACATTTCACTTGCACAAATTTAACACAGCGTTTTTCGCATATTTCTTTATTCAATTTTGTATTATATTTTCTTTTCTATACATATGAGTATTTTTCATATGCTGGCGCGACAGCGATTGCGGCGTCGACTGCGGCAGCGACGGCGACGATAACAGCGATAATTTGGCAGCTAGCATTTCGCATGCATTCTTTACGCATTTGCGCAGCACTCGTGCGGCAATATTGCACAATTTCAACCACTTTACCACTTAAACTAATAATAAATATAATTAATTTGTTTTATAAACAATGTGAACGGGATACAACGCAACACGAATCATTTTCAGCAGCGCGGAGAGCCACCGACTGTCTGTGAGAGACGTAAGAGGGCGCGTGAGAGCGAAAGTGGAAGAGAGCGTTAACCAACTGTCAAAACATTGGCAGAGTTGCCAACTGCTGCCACAGCCAGGCCGCCGTTATTATTGTTTAAGCAATATATTGTTAATTTTATTAAACAAGTATAGCTACAAAAGCTAAATGCTAATGTTATAGCTAATTATTGTCTGTATATGTAGCGAATTCACTGTCACATTGCAGTTGAGTTTTCAATACTTCTGGTTCTACTCTGTTTAGCGTCGCACGCGTTGCACTGCTTTACAACATAGAAATTTACGCCGCTCGTTGTTAATGCGCGCGTCTGTTGTATGTGTTTCAAAAGCTCGGCGTTTACTGTCACATATTACACAGTGTTTTTGGCCAATGAGCCTTGCTTGGAAATTCATTATTTTAGCTCCTGGAAAACGAAGGCATGCGCACAACGCACGCATAATTGTGCGCGCGCAATCAGGTGGCAACGCCATACAGCCAACCGATCAGCTGTTTGTCCAATTCAACAATTCACATATTTCATTGTGTGTGTTTTGTGGGAGGGAAGGGGCAGCAGCAGGTACAAATTTATATTTCCCTGGAGCGTAATATGTTTGTCAAAATTTAATTGTACATTGTGAAACTGCAGCGTAATAATTATTTGGTCGAAATTATTACATTATGAACGTCGAGCAATAAATACACGATTTAGATGCATGTACATATGATTTACTTCTTTTGTTTACGCATTAAATGAGCCCCAAGGCAAATCTTGTTATTTATTTATTTGGTTACAAACATTATTGCAAAAGTAATTAGGACGACGCGTAAAGTAATTACATGCACAAATGTTGCAGCGAAATTCCCCCAAAAGCAAACAATTTTTGGACATCCGCATCCGTCTCCGGCTCTGAACTCTCCCCCTCCCCCTCTGCCTCTTCCCCTGTTGCTGTCACTGTCTCTGTCTCTCCGGCCGCCGTTTTTTGGCCGCGCAATTTCCCGTTACAAACGCGTTTAGACTGGAATTTCAATTATGCACAGGAATGCCTGACCCACTTCCCCTTCCACCCAACCCGCCCCCCGCCCATCCTCAATTATGATGTGCCCGCATAGACAACAGAACCCCCCCAAAAAACAACAAAATATGCCAGGCAGGCAGGCAGCGGCTGCTGCTCTGGCTTCTGGTTTCCCTTTATGGCTTTATAAGTTGACATCCACCCTGCCGCACAGTAAAGTTTGGGGTTGACTCGCATGCAAATCAAATCAGCGTAAGACTAATAAAAAATAGATCCTCCTCGCACGGAGCACTTGAAGCATCCTTTAGCATAAAATAACTCGAGACCCGACCCGACCGAGAGGCAGACTGCCTGGCAAGTCAAAACAAATTGCAGCCCTCAACTCAACTTTTTCTGTGTAGAATTTAATTTTGTCGTCAGAGCAGCCTGCATGTTGCATCCACTTACATTTCTTGGGGCAAAGCGGAAGTTACTGGGTGGCACAATAGGGCATCGTTGGTGTGTGTGTGTGTGTGTGTGTGCGTGTGTGTCTGTGTGTGTGTGCAAAACAGCAATAGAAGTTGCTTTCAGAGATGTGCAGTGTGTGTTGGTTATGAAGACCTGTTTCACAAGCACCGATAGAAAATCCATATATAAAAATGATAATGCTCAAATTATTAGGTTGCTTCCCTCAAGATTTATGAGTGATTTAACTTATTTATATTCGAATGTTAAGGCTCCATTGGTTAGTTCATTGTTCATTGTTATACTATTAATATCTGCGCGTCAATTTTATAATGAATAACAGCAAATATCTTATGAAAAAAGTTCTATAAAAGTAGATCGCAGTTTTGTATATTCTCAAAAACACCTTATGCGATTTTGGGTGTTTTTTTTTAATATCCCGCTTGAACATTATTCGCATCTCCAGCTGCAGTTGACACTGCTCCTCCTCCACTTTTAGCCATGGTCATGCATTTCGTTTCCGTTTCCGGCGCTTCTAATTAAGTGTCAGTCGTGCTCCTCGTCATCGTCCACGTTGGCTGCATTTGCATTTTGGCATTTTGCATGTTGTGCTACCCTGTATTTTATTAAAATATCTCGCCCAGCGAAAAACATATTTAAATTATTAACAAAAAAAACTATTGGCAATATGTAAAACTAAAGCATTATTTGTGTAACAAAGTTTCTTAACTCGTAGAACTGACTAACAAAAGTTATATTTCCCTACAGTTCAAGGTACTATATAAGTATAATTTCTAATGTTGTTTTCCTTCACCATTTGCATAAATTGTATAGCAGTTATTAAATATAAAAGCATTTGCGACATTATAACTAAAGTGCAGGGTATTCTCCAATCAAACGCACTTCAGCAAAGGATTCCTGCTTTTTATAAGCTAGTTTTTTTATATATATATCTATATATATAATCCTCCTTGTGCATTTGTTAAATTACAGGATAACGCCCAGGAAAGTTAATCAATCATGCACACGCTGGACTTTTTCTCTTATATATAATATATATAATCAGAGCATACTTTTAGGTGTTTTGCAGCAGATGCTGCTGCTGCTGCTACTTGGTACTATGGACAAAAGTTTGATGAATTGTGCGCTGTGCGGAGCTGCATGCTAATGAAAGAATTCGATTTATTCCGACCACGCCCCACGTAAATCTGTTTCTTGGGAACGTTGTGACTCTGCTCGTTTGGCCATAAGTACAAGGCACTTTAAGGCTGAGGAGCAGCCTGCTCTTAGCTGACTCAACACAGCCATATTACTCTCGGGGGCCAGACCACATAATAATCATGGCTCTTGGTTAAAGTTTGCAGCGGTAGCAACATCAGCAACAACAACATAAATTCATTAGTTGCTAGACAACGGATTGCAGCAGCTCCTTGTGCACTAACCACTACAACCACTCCCATCCCGCACACGCAACCTCCCCAGTTAAGTAGCTACACAATTTATGACGTCACTTTTAGTTGTTCGCGGACTTTATTTCCTGGCACACTCGTTGATATAGTTCAAGCAGCAGTAGAATAGCGGAATGTTAGTCGAGAATGGGGTGTTTAACTTATGATTTGTCTGCCACTTCTTGAACGCCATTTGTAATCGGCTTTGCATGACCAGCGTTGTTCTGCGGTCTTTGAGCAGAACAGAATCTCGGCAGATGAAGTAACTAACACCAAAAGCTAACCGATTCCAACCCTACTTGAAACACATGGCAACATTTTAGAATTTACATAAAATCGCAAGAATCTCCCTGGTAGGATGCTCCTGTGGTTTAATGCCCAGGCGCAAGGACACGCCATAAACAGCACTCGCTTTCATTGGGGAATATAAAATGGTCGTGTTATGTTCCGATTTCTGTATTTTATGACGCAAATGTGAACGATTATGGATAGAGGAGTGGTTGGGAGTGGATGGGCAAGGAAGGTGTTAAAAGAAGGTAATGCACAGTGTATCTCATTCTCATTCACTGCCTATCCTTATCTCATTTTATATGCAGTTTTCCATAAGCGTGCGCACATCTACTGCCAGCTGCCAGCTGCCACAGCATGTCAGATTTGCTGTGCATGTCAGGCGCCCTCATAGACGTGCCAAGGATAACGCCAATCAAAGGCTGCCACGACAAACTTACAGTGACTTTGCCACGCAAAAGTGGACTGGTTGCTGTTGAGACGCGGCGTTACCGCTGCTGCTGTTGATACTTTAAATACAAATGATTATTACATGCAACCGGTCAGTGGACAGTGTCAAATCCAATCAACGTTGCGTATACTCGATGCCAGCTCGAAACTATGCATGGCGTTTGCCGGTATCAAGGATCTTTGGCATCTTTGCCTGTGATTTTTACACAGCGCTAAATTCGATTTGTAGAACATCAAAGCAACACGAAACAGGCACTTAAAGTGTGTACGCAAAACAACAGCAACAGAGAGTGATGTACCAAAGGATGCCCTGTAAATATCAAATCAAAATCAGACAAAGCAAAACAATGAATTCATTGAGCTTGAACAAGATTGGTGAATATACTTTTTAATACAATCATGATGATATTATATTATATATTATATTATCATTTAAGCTAAGAGTTTTTCTTAGTGGAATGCATTTGTAATGCTGCAGTTTGTGAGCAGATTACAGCGTGTTAAAAGTTGCCATTTTTGCACTCAAATGAAGGATAAGAAAGCGTTGTAGAAATAAACGATAGAAAGACTAAGGATAAGAGAGCTAAGTAAAAGCAACTCTTAAGCAATATTACCCCTTTCTAACCACTTCAAAAAAGTTTTTGTTTTTTTTTTGGCAGGGTATTCACAGGCAAGCAAAAAATAACGCATACGACACGTGCGCGGCCAACAAACACTCAAATTCTAAGTGTATTTGCCTGTGTCTGATGTGTGTGTGTGTGTGTGTGTGTGTGTGTGTCTGATGTGTGTGTGTGTGTCTCTGATGTGTGTGTGTGTGCGAGAGTAATTCAACTTGTTCGCCAAAACGAACGCATAATAAGATCCATAAAACAGTCCAGTGTTTCGTTTTCTGATTTGCCTGCAAGAATAAAAAGAAAACAGAATGCTGTATGCATAATCCTTGTAGCCGGCGCACATCCTGGCTGACTGTTGCTACTGTTAGCTCAGTCGGAAAATATGTTATTTTATGTGCACATTGCGCTTTCAAGACAATTTCGTCAATGTTTTGTTGTTGTTTTTCTTTTCTTTTCTTCTTTATTTTCTTTGTGTATATACGTTGCCACGCCCAAAAGTTGCACAAGGAGTTGGTGCTGTTGTTGCGTTTAAGCTCCAATGATTTTAGCATAATTTTCTGCTACACATTGGATGTGTCTATGTGTGGTTTTTAGCATGCAACAAGAACAATATCAACCACAAATAAAAGTCCTGTGTCGCAATCAACAGGATATTCAATTTGCAATTTGCCATTGGTTTTTAGGATTTTGGTTTAATTTTACTTTTTGCTTATGCTGCAGCAGCAGCAACAGCAGCAGCAACAAGCAGCAGCAACAGCAGCAACAACAGCAGCAGCAACAGCAAC